GCTCTCATGAATGGGTCGCTTAGACAACTCATCTGCCGAGGACAACAGATATTTAAAATACCCCTCAAATACCGCGCAAATTACGTAAAGTAAATCTACATTCTCAATCAGAAATAGAACATATACGCCTACATTTATATAAGCTGCTTGGCTTCTAGAGCTTCGTCGATCAGCCAGATTATTGCCGCACTGGCGCACCGCATTTGGCATTTATCCTTCGGCGCCCTGTCGAGGACTCTGAGCCGTTTTCAATGGCCACTCAGGCAGGGCCCGTTTAGACGCTAAGCACCGTTGCCAGCATCGCAAATATTTTTCGGGAAAACCGAGGATACTTGAGTGGGAGACGGGACGTGGTAGGATGTGCGATGGTTAGATTGCCCTGAAGGAGTCTGGGCAAAATCAGAAATGTCAATATTTCCAGTTGAGCGCAGCAAAACAAGCGGCTTGAAAAAGCGCAGAGCGACGACATTTTTGCCGGAAACTAATTTAAGAAAATTATACGAATGCGTGCGCCTGGTCGGAAGAGGCGACTGTTTCATTTCTGGACTTTGCGGACAGCCGAATGGGGCACAGACTGAGGCGCAGGATAGAAACCCGATTTGCTATTTGAAGCGGAAGTGACCCTTGAAGTTTGATTTTATTTGTGCGGCATTGCCATTGGCAAACAGATTTAAGCTGCGCCTTTCGACTGTGCCAGCTCGCTCCTTTAGCTCCTCATGTACAGATCTGTACACAGTTATTTATTTATTTATTTACTTATTTATTTGTTGCTGTTCAATTTTTAATCAACAGCTTTGACTTCTTGGCAGCGGCTCTTACACTTTATGCAATTTCCTGTTTGGCTGTATCTAAACTCAAATAGCAAAAGGCAAAAAGCAAAGCAAAATTTAAAAATAAAGAAGGAACATATAAATGAAAATAAAAAAGGAAAATCTAACCCGGCGGGTTGCCTATTTTTAGGTGCCATCCCATAGAATTCAATGTCAACGACAGCTGCAGCGGCAGCAGATTGGTAAGTAACGATTGAGCGGGGGGTGGGCTAAAGGATGGGCGGTGGCTGTGCTGGAGTCTAAGGGCTGAGGGCTGAGGGATGAAGGGCAATTGCAAAAAGGCACTCGTGGCGGAAGTCCGTAAAGCTGCCATCAAGTGCCAACTTGAACATAAATAGTTAAGACACGTCTTATAATAGGGATAGAAAATAAAAGCTTGATGTCTGCCGGTGCGAATAAGCAAAGGAAATATAAAAGTGTAGCATACTTTTGTGCACCTAAAATAGTTGATGATTATACTTACTGCGGTATTTAAGTGTGCAGTATGTTTTGCTTAAATAGAATAATCTATATTTTATGGTTGTCAGGTAAAATAGCTGGATTCCCAGTTCAATCCCTGTTATTTTTGGATATTTCTAAAAAGGATATATGATAGTTATACAAATAAAATGTTAATATTAACAATAAATATAAAGTATTAATGTTGAAATTATAATAACGTTATTAGATAAAACTGTCATCGCGATAATTGTCATATTATTCTCTCACATCTGACAGTAAATTACAATTCATGGAAAATTGTACTTGTATGCAATCAAAGAATTTACATATATCAGCAATATTATAATTTTACCACTTTATTAGCTGCCAGAATTATATATAATAATATTATAAAATTGCACGAGGAAAGCTAAATACGTTTTCTGATGACTTATAGACGGTAACAGAAGGTATTTATGTTACTCCCCACTTTAAGACTTACTACAATATTATTTCTGTTATACGTAGTATAAAAATATAATTTCATATCCCGAATCAATTAAGATTTATGTAGCTATACGGAGATTTGTAGCTATAATCGCGAGCCTTTATGATTAATCATCATCAATCAGCTTAGGTTTTCATAAAAATATATTTTAAATTAATTGCATAACTTGACAAATTGGTAGCGAAAAAAGATTTCGGAAAGGAAAGGTAACCAGCTCGTAAGGCCAATTCATTGGAAATTCGCTAACTTTTGAGCTGTACACGCGACGAGCCCAAAAGTTGAAATGAGTGGCCAGCTAAGGTGTCAAAGCCAAAGACAATAGAAACATGCAGCGACACCAATACACACACAAGCACTCGCGCACACACACGCAGACGCAGCTTCGTGGCCGTATATCGTGCTCGTGCTTACGTCACAAATATGCGTAGGCGTCATCATCGTGCGGCTGCGGCACACCCACTGCTCCATCCAGCTTAGTCCAGTCGCGAGTCGTCGCCGCCGTCGTCGTTGTCGCCGCTCATTGAAAGAGCAAAAGGGCCGCCGTCGCCGTCGCCGTCGCCGTCGTCGTCGCCAGTACGGCGATAATGTCTCCATGCCGTACACTTGACGCTTTCCCCAACCGTGGGGCGCTGTTTGCTCAATGAAACTCGTAGCTTCGATTATTTTTTTGTTGTTGACGTAGTCGCCGCTGTTGTCACTGCGCCGGCGCCTGGCTGAATCATCTGTTGTTGTCGCCCTGTTGCCACTCCGACCGCCTGCCTTGGCCCAGCCAATGCATTTCGCTTGTGGTAGGACAGTTTATGAGCTTCCACTGGGCACAGGACACAAGTCGCTTAGCAGGTAGACACTGGGGATGGGAGACAACAGCTTTGCTAAGCTCGCTCAGCTGTTTGATATGCTTGTAGACTTCATCGCAGTGTAGACTTTTGTGCAACAAATTGTGTATTGAAGCCGGCTTTTTCTAAGGCTCTCTCTATAGCTGATGGTAAGGGATAGCTAACATAGGGCTAGAATGGCTAAGAATAAATACTGGTTATTTTTGGTTAATTAGGGTAAATTTAACAAAGAGTTAAACATGTAAGTTTGTTTTAGTATTTTATATATACAATATTCAAAGTGGTCTACAAACTACCAGTCTATCATTTTCAAAATATAATTTTACACAAATTAGATATTATTGTAAATTAAAAATAACGTAAAAGAAAATATATTGACATGGATTTTGTATTTGATTCTTTGGTATTACATTCTGAATGGAAAAATAACAGGCTGACTCTTATACAACTTGTAATGTCATATATTAACAAAAGGTTAAAACCTTTTCCCGTTGTAATAAATTTGTTACTATTTTAAATATTTGTTAGTTAGCTGTTTTAATTTATTTTAATGTTATGAGTTTTCCATAAAAAAAATGTCTACAAACAATACTATGGCTATGCGAAAGTTCCAAAATTGACAAGCCCAACCACTACAACCAAATTCTCATTCAGATAGTGCGATGTTAGCACAACTTCATCTAGCATTAAAACTATATTATAATTTTTGGTTCTGCTGGCTCGTAAAACGTAAAAGCCACAGACATTGTGACGACAACAGCAAACCGAGCAGAACTAGCCATGGCCGGCACCTGCCCCAAAATGTCCCAATGCCCATTCCAAATGATGAATTTCAGATGAGGCACACACACACACGCGCACACACACACACACACACACACATAAGCAAGTTGCAGGCAAACAGCAGAATCAGTAACAGAATCGGAACCAACAGCAGCAGCGGCAGCGGCAGAGGCAGAGGCAGTCGATGACGATGATCCTTGCATAGTATAAGTACGAGTATAACTATGAATATAGTCGTAGTTCTCCTTCATTCATGTATGCCTGACTCAGTTCCATTCGGTTCTCTATTGTAGGAGCCTGCAATTCATGTTCTCAGTGCCCATGTGTAGGAAAATACTTTTCCGTTTTATATATTTGCACTTGTTGTTGTTGTTGCTGTCGCTTTTATTGTCGTCGTCTTGTTTTGCTTTTTACAACTGTGGCAAATGTGTGGGCGTCATCAATGTTCGAACTCAGTAGTTCGAAAGAGGGGCTCAGCTAGGGGTAAATATGTGAGTGCTTGTATAAGTAGACTGAGAAAAGTCTCTTTGATGCGCAAGTGTTGGATGCATTCCATAGTTGTTAGAATAAAGTAGATTTGTGGAAAAATGTTTCCTAGAAATATTTATTGTTCTTTGGCTTCCTTTTCTTTCGTAAATTAGTTTTTTTTTACCTCTTTATATAACTTAATATGTAATATTGACACATAAGATGCAATCAAGGGATAACTTTATTATAAAATTCATTTTATAATTGGATTACACAAAATATTTTATCAGACTTCATTTATTTAAGATTCTTTCAAATAATATTTATACAAAAATTTGTATCCTTGTTTGTATATCCTTGTATGTTAAAATCATCTTAAATCTTAATTTTATATTTATTCTAACAAAATTGACATACCTTTAATACCTTTTTTACCCTCAATTATTTTTTCATTCTTTTGTGGTTTTCAATTTCCATGCTTGCTCTGCATTGTGAAATTCCTTTATACAGTCATGAAATACTTTATATGTTACCTTTACTACTTATATTTAACTAACGGGACTTTCCCTTAATATGTGCCAACTCAGCAAATTTTCTAGATAATAATCTGAACTGTGGGTTTAACCGAATTTATGAAACCAAATTAAATAAATTATCAAAGTAAGCCACAATCTTTTCAAGGGACAGCGGACAATGGGGGAATAAGAGGCAGAAGAGGAAGCGGTCAAATCGCTGCTGCTAATAGGAAAATCCTATTAACATAACGGGCTAGCCAAGTGCGAAAATTCGAACAAGTTGCTGCCCCTACGAGGGAGAAAAGGACATCATATGGGCGATGCCGGCACAATGAGCGCAGTTCGAGCGTAAAGCTAACCGTTGTCGTGCACTCTTTCTCTCTCTCTCTCCCACTCCCTCTCTCCCTCACTCACTGTCTCACTCTCTCTCTCTTTTTTTCCCTTTTGCTGTTTGTCTTTTGCTGTCGTTTTCGCTCGCAGTTTGGCAAAAACTCTACACATGACGCAGCGCACTGGCTGCTGCTCTGCTGAGACTTCGGCTTTGGCATAGGTTTCGGTTGCGGTTTCGGCTCCGGATTCGGCTACAGCTTCAGCAATGGCTTTGGCTTGAAAACAAGTGGTTGAGCGTGCGGCCTGTTCAGTATTGAGCGAACAAACGTATATGTCGTTTCGTGCTCGTTGCCCGTTGACTGAGTAAACGCACAGGAAGAAAATAGCAGCAGCAACAGCCAGAAGCAGTAGCAGACGCAGCAGCCAGCGGCCAGGACAAGTGAAATTCGAGGCACGGGCGACAACAGCAACAACGAGCAGCATTGCCCGAAACGAATGCACAACGAACCTGGCACGACGACTACGAACAGAAACGACTCACACACACATACACACACACACACTCGCACACATACATAGGCACTGGCGGCGGCTTGTATGAACATAAAGTGGAAATACGAAACGCCTTGAGGAGAGCAGCGCCGACGTCGTAGTCCGTGACGGCAACAACAGCAGCAGCGACAGCGACTGCGACTGCGGCAGCGACCGCATCAAGCGGCCAAGCAAAAGGCAGACAAACAGGCAAAACCTGCTGAGACGATACGACGAGTCCTTGCTCGTCGGTTCATATGTGCGGAACACTGAAGAGACACACTAGAAAAAGTTTTCACATCAAATAAAAGACTCCACACACAAATACAAGAAAAACATAAAGAATAATAACAACAACAAAGAAGCAATCAAGTGAAATTCGTGAAAAGAAATACATGTTTTTAAAGTGCAAACCTAATTCCCCCCTACAACAAAAAATATATTAACAAATATTTCTTAAAAATTTTCGAAAAATTTTCAACAAACCAAAATAATAAACTACAGCAAAGGAAAAGTCGTGTAAGATTTGTGCAACAAATAAAAAGAAAATTAAGTCTATGAAACTAAAACAAAAGTGCCGCAGCTGAGCGCTAAGCAAAAAAGTGCTAACAAGTTCCTTCAACAAAAAACAAATAAAATAAAATTTAAAATATATATACAACAATAACAACACAAATATTGTTATAACCATAAAAAACAAAAGTATACAAATATTATACACCATACAAATATTTCTTTGCATTTTTATTAAAACACCCAGTGAACAAAAACAGCCACACAGATAAAAAGAAAATTGCAAATACTGATCAAAGTCAAAGTCTTAGAAACGAAACGATAACCCAAGTGCCGTGCGTTCAAATTTCTGCCTCCCATATAGTAGATCATATGAAACATCAAATTTGGCAAGCGTGAGAGATATAAAAGGACCACCTAACGGGAAGCTATAAACACAGCAAGCGGTCAGAGCAAGATTTTTAGGCAGCCGCAAGCGACTTCCGTGCCAGTAAGAGTAACGGTAGAGTACGATATAGTGCCGACGGCAGAGATTTCATATATATATCTAAATATATGCATACTTACATATATACGTACATGTGTGTGCATATATAGACAGCAACTAGTGTGCCTACGCCTGTGTGTGTTTCGTCTGTCAGCAACTCCCTCGACAAAGGCCAACAAAGTTCAACAAACAACAGGCCAGACACTTCAGTTGGACAAGTAGACAATTGATTATTGATTTTGTCTAAAGGCAACTTCACAGCTAGCAGCGGCGTATAAGTAACGGGCGCGTTAACTGAAAGAAAAGGAAAAACCTTTGCGACCAGTGTTGTGCAGTGCAAAGCGCTATAGCGCGCAGTGTTGAGCAGCGAGCATGAAGACTTACAAGCGCTAAGCACGCAACACAAACAACCAAAGCAAACACTGCAAGTGACAAAAAAAAAATAACTCACTCGCACGCTCTTTCCCCCCCTAACCCATTCTTTGGCTCTCTTTGACACTCACACACACGCGCACACATACATCGCCAACATAAGCCGTTTAATTGATAAAGTGCGCCAAAGCAACAAATCGAAAATGTTCTTCTCGCTCGCACAGACTCTGGTCTGCGTGCTGCTCATCAACGGCGGCCTCTATGCGCTGCATTTGAGCGGCAACAGCGAGAAGCAGGCGGGCACTGGCTCCAGCTCGGGGCCAGGCTCCGGCCTGGGCTCAGCGTTGAGCGCCGGCCAGGTGAGCGCCTCTGGTGCTTGGCAGCCGCAGCAGCAGCAGCAGCTGCATCAGCATGCGGGCGGCGGAGCGCCACCTGGCGGCGGGCTGGGCAGCAATAGCCATGGACATCGCTCGGACGGACATCGTTCGGCGGCTGCGGCTGCTTTCGATGCGACCACGGGCCGTTTGAACAGAGAGATTGCGGACATGGCGCAGCTGGAGCGCGAGCGTTTGATGCTCCTCGGCCTGGCCAAGCAGACGGCCGAGAGTCCCGATGCGCCCGCTGGCCACCACGGCCGGCCCATCATCGCTGGCCGCGTTCAAATGCAGCCCAGTGAGGGCCTGGACGTGGGCGACTATCCGGCTCTGTTGCAGCAGGCAGCTCGCGGCTTTATGTTTGGCAGCGTGCAAAAGCAGCCGCCGCCACCGCTGGCCGCCGACGAGGACTACGAGCAGTTACGTGAGTTTGGACGGCGTCCCGTTAAATACGACTATGGACGCGTGATGCAGCCGCCGGAGCGTGAACTGGAGGACGAAACCCTTTATGAGCCGCTGCATGGCTTTGGCGACTTTGATGACTTCTCAGAGCTGGAGCCGAATGCCGAGGAGCCGCATTTGGGCGAGGATGAGTTGCTGCGCGAGCTAGACGCTTATCAGTATCATGGCTTAGAGGAGGAACCGCTGCCCGAGAATCCCTATCGTGCGGCAGAGCAGCTCGAGCTGAGCGCACCCGATGCCCTACAACAGCTGCTCGAGCAGGAGCAGCGCGATGCACCCGGCAAGTCCAATCCGAAGGCACACTCTCCCGGCAACTACAACATACGCATGCAGCAGAAGTGGGCCAGGAAACGGGCTCAGGCACCCAGGCAGCAGCAGCCGATGCTCCAGCGCAACATCTTTGGCCAACACTTCAAGCAGCAACGCGGCAAACTGGCACTGGCCAACTCGGAGGCCACGGCCAGCAAGCATCTAAAGGCGGCCACACGTTCCGGCAGCTCCAGTGCCAGCGCCACCAAGCTGGAAAAGTCAACCCAGAACGAGAATGGAGACGCAACGAGTCAGCTGCAGAACAAACAGCCGCACGAGTCACCAGCATTAGCATTAGCTGCTGGTGATGCACAGCAGCAACAGCAGTCGACCTCGTCCTCGTCGTCGTCATCGTCATCGCAACAACAGTCGTCCCAGCAAGAGCAGAACAAGAAGGAATCGGATCAGTCGTTGATGCATCCCAATCACAAACGATCAGGCAGCGCCGCCGCTGGAGCACTAGGTGGCTATGCGTCGCCGCCAGTCTCCCACAGCATTGCCAGCCAATTGATGCTGCGCACAGCGCGCGGCCAGCGGCAATACGACGTGCCACAAATCGGTGAGTGACCAAATCCTATAGTCAAATGTTTATTTATATAATATGCATATTAAATATAAAGATATTCGGTAAGTCGGTGTGCTCGATGCATAGATTAAATGTTTAGAAAATGCAAACACAGTATCATAGACATAGATTATTTTCTTTACAGACCAATTTTGCACTGATTTAATGCTATTATTGAAAATCCGCCGGATAACGATTTCTATATAAAACACTATCCTTCAGACACCTCACAAAATATCATAGATTTAGATTGTGTTCTAGACAAAATAATTTTTCACAGATTATGTATATAATATTGAAACTTCAAATTCCGACGGAAGTCCAAAAATATCGAACATTTTGAAAATTGTTATTAGCATTTGCTAAACATAAACTTCAGGAGTATCCGTATAGAAAAAGTATACTATAAATAAGAAAATTAAATATTTTAAACTGGAATCAACGTGCTTTGTAATTTGGTTAATTTTTAAATGCATATAATTCCCTGACAGTTAGACGTTTTCACATACTAAATCCCATTTAAAAAAGAGTCTCATAACAATGTGGTATAAAAACTCTTACAATTTTTTTCAAAACAAGCTTCAGAAAATAGTTTCATTTTCTTGCCTGAGACATTGAATCGAAGCAAATGTCTAAACTGGATTTGAAGAAGTAGTATATCCCATATCTGATTTCTTTTCTTGCCTTAAACTTACTTTTAATTCTTGCTTATTATAATTACCAATATTAAATCTAATTATAAAAAGATAAAAGATCCAGTTCATTCCAAAAAAAAGAGAAAAAACTAAGCACAAGCCAAAAGATTTCATATTCCTCCCTTAACATTAATTAAAACGAAAATACCGTCATTATAATTCGAAAATTAACTGAAACGGTTCCATCAATGTCCGGCACTCTGCAGATATTTACAGTTAAATGACGCAGCAATTTCTTCCCAGGCAAGAATCTGAATGTGTTGCCCACCAAAATGCCCAACCCTATATGAATTTCTCTATTAATAGTGTCCGTAGAAACGAACCTGTCAAATCACACATTAGGTTAGTTCTAATGTTTTGTTTACTAGTTATATACTGTAAATGGTCTAATTAGAAAAAGCCGAATACACAAATAAAATATTCCCATTTTAGCTTCGAATCCTTGCCCGGCTTAATAACCTTTTGTATTTTCAAGCACATTCCCCAATTAAACCTTATCTCTGCCGGGATACAACCCCTCTAGAATTTTATATAGCTAATTTTATACATCGCCTGTCAGTCTGGCCAATTGTTTCGGGGGGGTAGGCGCGCTTAACCCCTGGCGTGTTTACGTATTTCGGTTACAATTCACTTGATTCAGTTATTAGTTTTTATGACTTATTTTTATTTTGGGTCGAACCCACCCCATTAACCCCCAAGGGCAGTCGCTAATCGCTCTATTGGCGCACTGTCTATTTTTGTTCCAAAATTTATATCTTTGTTTTTTTTCCCTCGTTCTATTCGAATTGGAAGTTACATACATATATATATATGTATGTATATGTATACTATTTATACTCGGACAGAGCCAGGGTACTTGTCTGGCGCTTGCATAATTCATAGTTCAAAGACTCGGTAGCGCGCTGTGGTGCGGGTTTAGCTAGAACTGCACTGCGTTGGCGTCGCTTGGAATTTAATCCTTTTAGCCCGATCAGCATTGCCGGCCTGGTTGGCCTGGTTGGCCTGGTTGGCCCGGTCAGCCCCGGCAGCCTTGGCAGCCGTCCCATCAATCAGGCATCAGCTATCATTTAATAGATTGTCACTAAATCATTTGTCAACAGCTGGGCGGCGTGCACGGACAAAGTTTTTGTGGATCGAATCGCGAAAATATATATATATATTTTGCAAATATTCGCTTTTAATTGGCAACAACTATTTCGGCTGTATTTGTAAGGCTGGGGGAAACGTCCAACTTTTTGGCCATTGCATTTAGCAAATTAGTCGCATTGTCTGCGAACAATTTTCAGGAATTTCCATTGCCGCCCAATTCAGCTCGCACTGAAACTTTGCTTCGGTCTGGCAAATTTGCGCTATCCGCTTACGGTTAATCACTTGGCTGGCGTTGCCGCCTCTCCTAAATTACTTTACAGCAAGTTTTGATGGTCGCCATGAATACAGAATGTCAGCCAAAGACAATCGGAGCTGGTTTTTTGAACTGGTTACCTTGTTCCACCCACTCACTTTCTGAGCATTGTAATCAATTTTAATTTTTAATTATCACTTTCAAGTTTAATGACATAATTTTTATGGCCATGAGCTAAATGGCATGCCATTGTGCAAGTCACTCTACACTTACACATACACACAGGCACACAAACACTCTTGCGTGAATGGGCGTGGCATTGGCCTTATTAAAACGTGCAAAATTGTTGGAAATTTCGTATTTATCGGAGGTCGGAGATGTATTTATAATGAATTGAGAAAGCGTGTCGCTTAAAAGCTAAGAGCATCCTTTTCATTAAACCTGTTGTGCTCTATAATATAATAGAAGCTATTAAGCTAATAGTATTTCCTATTTGATTGAAGTTTTTTTTAAGGAATTTTCGGGGTTGATGAAAATTGGTTACATTCTTGTGTAAGATACAAAACTAATTAATAAGTAATTTTCAACTGTGTTTTCATGTATTTTATATATTTTATTGTAAATTATATATATATTATATATTTATATATATATATTATTGCTTGTGCATTTAGCAACTTTTTGAGCTTCAAATTGATTATTTTTAGAACAACAATTTATAAAACACAATTAATTATGATATAAAAACACGTTATTATGATTCTTATATGATACTTGATGAAAATAGTAAATGTTTTTGTTTGTTCATATTAAAATATAATGAATTCAAAATACACTATATTCATTAACGGTAATTAAGTCAATTCCATACGTTATGATTGAAGCTTTTTATTTGTATAAGAATTGATCCTGATTTAACAGTCGTATATCCCCAATTTGTATTTTGTTTGATTTTATATCTGGAATAATTCTAATAATTCCGTAGCTTACACGCTTATGCTTCCCTTTGTCAATCAAATGTGATTGAAGTGTGGAACTATACAGCTTATTTTGTGCAAATAATATCAATGGCTTTGCCGAATGCGCTGCTGCCTTAATATGTAGCCAAGTAAATGTATTTTCCGCCCATTTAAAGCAATTAATATGCAAAGTACTTGAAGTCTATTAGCCAATCAAATTTGTTTGAAACTGTTATTAGGGCTACCTCAGACTGCCGCGCTATACTTCTCTCTCTTACTCTCATTTGGATGGGGCAGACACCTTTTCTCTTTTATCTGCTTACATCTGATCGAATAAAGAAAATGATTGTAAACTTTATTTAAATTGTTTTTCCTTATGTCAAAGGCAGGGCGAAGGAAACTTTTGGTTCGTTACGGAGAAACGCAAATTCAATAAGACAATCAATGAATTTTCATTTTATGCGCACACTTGCGCAATTCTTATTGCTGTTGTTGTTTTTGTTGTTGTTGCTGTTGCTGTTTTCCTTGTTGCCAATTGTCACTGGCGCTTTTCATTGGAAATTTTCTTCTGTGTGCACGCACAATAGCGGCTTTGGCGAGGGCGTCGAGGAAAAACCTTGGCATCACCCAGCCCGACCCACATTTCATGCGGACTGAGCTTATTTAAATATATATTGAAGTGTGTGTGCGAGAGTGTGTGTGTGTGTGTCAAGCAACATGTGTACGGTGCCCCATTGACGATGCAATAACGTCATCAACTGTCATCGGTCGCTGAAGTCGTCGCTTTTGTTGTTTCACACTTTGCAGTAGTTGGGAAAATTACAATTGTTATTTCAAGTGTTTACATTGAAATTGATCGCACACACACACACGCACACACGCCCACACATACATACGCGCGTCATTTGCCCGGCGGAAAGTGCGACCAGCGACGCCTGTCGCTGCGGTGTGAACTCAGCTGCAGAAGCCGCCCCGCTGCTAGCGTGTCCTGTGCTGACCGTGCTCTGCGCGTGTGCATGTGCGTGTGTGTGTGCGTGTGTGTGGGAAAATGCTTGCAACGCTGGCAGCTTCCTCATTGTCGCATTAACCTTTTTTCCATGGAAAACTGTGCGGCATTTATGTGATGGTCGCGTTTTTATATCATTACACCACTTACTTTCACATACGATCCTTGATGTATGTGCGTGTGTGTGTGTTTTTTTCCCACTAATTTAGTAACAACACCCCAGGGGGTGCCTGCTGACGACCATCAGCCGGTGCCCGCCTCCGCCTCCGCTTTCGCCTGTGCCTTTGCCTTTGCCCTTGCCATTGCGTCCGCCGGACAGGCCACAGACACAACACTCATTTATATAGCCGCTGTTTGACATGTCCTTGCTGTGCGGGCAGCGTGCGCACGCCTTTGGTTTTCACTTTTGTTGATTTAATTTGTAATTCGAGTAACAACTTCGAGTGGCCACTGTGCGCATATCTACTTCACATCTGGGGCACAGCGGACGCGCCTTCTTCAAATGTTTTAGCGCTGCCCGCTCGCTGTCTGTTAAATATTACGCAAATTAGTTGGAACTGTTATTGGAGTTCTCTTTCTCTTTGACTGTGTGCGTGCGTGCGTGTGTGTGTCAGTGTGCGAGGGTGGGCCTCGTCAGCGGTGTCCTGTCATGTGCGTGGGCTGCTGCAGCCGCGCTGTCTGCGCGCTGTGGAAAATTTCTCAAGACGGTGACGAGCCCAGGACACAGCGACGACAGGCTGTCTGTTGGCTGCAGGCCTTCTGATTGGGATAGGTTACAGAGCATGTGTACTGTGTCAGTGTGTGTCTGTGTGTGTGTGTGTGTGTGTGTGTGTGTGTATCCCGAGTATTTCTCAATAATAGGGCATTGAAATGCAAAGTCGAGGATTTTATGCGCTTGACTCGGTCAGAAGATCAGACAGATGACTTTCGTATGATTTAAATTAAATGAGATTTAAAAGAAAAAAAAATAAAAAATAAACCGCTTGATACTT